GACTCTTAGATCACTACTGATTTCGCTCGCCGTCGACCTGTTCCCAAAGTGACTGCGTCGTCATAAACCTCGGAATTTTAGGCAACCAAAAAAGTGGTGATTATAGGACCAAAAATACGTAACAAAATTTATGAAAATTAGACACTTTTAAGCGGTGAAAAGTAACGTTTAGGCACCTTCAAATAGGTTAAATGTGATTAACACACAGGCGCATTTCAAAACATTAAGACATGAAAAATTTGTTTCTGCAATATATAAAACTGATCAAAAACCGGATTAGATTAGGCATTTTGTTATTATTCAGGAATGTCATTGTATTTTTACATTTATAACCAGTGGCTACCAGGATTTGATTTTTATTCAATATAATTTCTCATTTCATTCAATTCTTCAACACTTTCCATTTCCGAACTTGGTCCAATTACGGGCACCTGCTCTGGAATTGTTCTATATTGCCTAAGAGTACGTGCTGAATCGGTGGAAGAGCAGTGAATATTTTAATTTTTGGGGAACTCACAAAAAGCGCTCTGGGCATATTCCCAAATTTCTCAAAAAAAAGGGCTGCCATAAAAAAATGGCTCAAGTGGATGACCGTTTATTTCTCTTTTTTCAATTTCTTGCAAGTATAATGTTAGAATATTTTAGTTTCTGATTGATTGATCCGTGATTATGCGCGCAGCGCGCGCGCGCGGCGCGGCCAATGTACTAATGTCCCGTAAGTTGTATGTGCGTTCAATCGCGCGAGTACAGGCGGTGATTTCTCCTCGCGCTGGCCGGTGAGATCCGGCGCTGACCTACTACCTCCTCGCTGGCGGACTTTCCGTAACCACGTATCCTCTCCCAAACAGCGTTGCAGCGCATCTCAGCCGGGATCAGCTCTAAGTTTCATGTGTGGTAGTGTATGTCTAATGTAAGTGTAAGCAGTAAGTAAGAATGAGGATAGGACAAGGAAAAGGAACGGGAATATTCCGCGCGGGTCCGTGGCCCGTTTGTTAGGGGTACTGCTCCAGCATTCATCAGGGCTGATCGAGAACCACGGAAACTCAGGATAAGAGCAGCCGGCCGCTAGAATCTACTCCAGACAGGCGACTGAATAGACTGTTTTCCAGTTTTTTGGAGGTGTGCAATGTGAGCTCTGTCGCAATTTTGTAATTGACGACCGGTTCCGCGGGGCCATTAGATGACCACGACTACCTGAAGAACGCTAACCTGCCCATCAATATTTGAGTGCAATCGATTGTGAAAGGTAATATTAATTCGCTAGGTAACTACACCACTTTTAAGCGCGATGGAATACAAGACGAGGGCGGGGCGGGGAAGGCCCTGGCGTACGCAGTGGGGCGGCGCAGCGAGACGTGATGGCGCGCGTCACGAAGCGATAGCGACTGCGTCTAGACCTCTTTAGTCGCGCGCCGCAGCCGCACCAGCAGCCGACACAGCGCTCCTCAGGTGAGTAGAGCTCGCAGATCAGCTCACACTTTTCGCTACAGCTAACAGCTCTATAGATTTTGAAACTTACTCATTTTAACACACTCACCTCTCTCAACTTGTATTATCTTCAATAAAACAAAACTTTTTCGACAGAGCCCTGTTCAGACCCTAACTCTTAACTTTATCAAAACTGGTGTCGAGGAAAAAGGCAATGGACATTTTTAAACTTACATTCGTCATCTAAGTTTCTGTTAAAGGTTTATTAATTTGAATATAACATGAGGGTTGGGCATAAATCATGACAACATGTTTCTTCACGCGAATTAGAAATTTATAAGCAAAATGGTAAGATTCACTTGGTAATCAACACCAGAAACTGCTGTGGGTCGTTTGAATAATGGCGATTATGTGTTCCGTGTGTCAGAGACAAAGCAAGTAACAATACAGAAATATCATTCTTAAGCTTTGTAATGATAATTATAAGAATAGCAAACAATAGTAGGTACTACAATAAATCCACAATGTATTCTCGGGTAGTCCACCACACGATCCTAATGATACTTGAGGTGTCGGGTACCCCTCATTTCAACCCATGTAAATTTTAAAATATCATGCTTCAACATTGAGCACGCCCTGTCTTCAAAATAATAAGTCCTTGATTTGAATGTTACGTCAAAAGACATAATCGTTGGGTTTGGTAGGCATTCTTATACTGTCCGTTCTCAGCATTGGACTTTCCGTACAGCGTAAACTGTAACAATCTGGCTTTGTTTTTTAAAAAAAATATGGTATCGCTGACATCTAGGCGTTTTCCTTACTGTCACGTCATTCATTATCTTCAGGGAGGTTTTGTCGAACGGTGTTGTATTCTTTCAGAGATGCAGCATGGGACAGTTCTGCCATGTCGCAAGTCCCTGCTAGTTTACTCTAGCTGAAAATGTTGCTGTTCATTGCGCAACGTGATTCAGTAAAATGGAGAATTATTTTCCATGACTTCCACAAGATCTCTGCAACATTCCTTGTCATTTATATCCCGGAGAATGATAATTTTAATACAAGAACCGCAACATGTCCGTTCTGCACGACTCCTTAATCACTACTGATTTCGCTCGCCGTCGACCTGTCCAAAGTGACTGCGTCGTCAATAAACCTCGGAATTTTAGGCACCAAAAAGTGGTGATTTAGGAACCAAAAATACGTAACAAAATTATAAAATTAGGCACTTTTAAGCGTGAAAAGTAATGTTTTAGGCACTTAAAATAGGTTACAATGTGATTACACCAGGCATTTCAAAACATTAGACATGAAAAATTATGTTTCTGGCATATAAAACTGATCAAAAAAGGATTAGATTAGGCATTTTTTATTATTCAGGAATGTCATGTATTTTCACATTTATAACAGTGGCTACAAGGATTTGATTTTATTCACTATAATTTCATTTCATTCATTCTTTCACACTTTTCATTTCGAACTTGTCAATAGCGCACCTGCTCTGGGAATTGGTTCTATATTGCCTAAGAAGTACGTGCTGATCGGTGGAGAGCGTGATATTTTAATTTTTGGGGAACTTCACAATAAGGCTCTGGGATATTCCCAAATTTCTCAAAAAAAAAAAAAAGGGATCCATAAAAAAATGGCTCCAAGTGGATGGCCGTTATTTTCTCTTTTTTAAATCTTCTTTGCAAGTTAATGTTAGAATATTTTCAGTTTCTGATTGATTGACTCGTGATTATGCGCGCGCGCGGCAATTACTAATGTCCCGTAAGTGTAGTGTGCGTTTCAATCGCGCGAGTAGGCGGTGATTTTCCTCCGCTGGCCGGTGAGATCCGGCGCTGACCTACTACTCCTCGGCTGGCGGACTTTCCGTAACCACGTATCTCCCAACAGCGTTGCACCATCTCAGCCGGGATCAGCTCTAAGTTTCATGTGTGGTAGTGTAGTCTATGTAAGTGTAAGAGTAAGTAAGGAATGAGGATAGGACAAGGAAAAGGAAGGGAATATTCCGCGCGGTCCGTGGCCCGTTTGTTAGGGTACTGCTCCAGCATTCATCAGGTGTTGATCGGAGAAACCACGGAAAACTATGGATAAGAGCCGCCGGCCGGTAGAATTCTCCTCCAGACAGCGACTGAATTAGACCTTTTCAGTTTTTGAGGTGTGGCAATGTGAGCTCTCGCATTTTCTGTAATTGCAGACCGTTCCGCGGGGCCATAGATGACCACGTCTGAAGAACCTACCTGCCATCAATATTTGAGTGCATCGAATTGTGAAAGGTATATTATCGCTAGGTATACTACACCACTTTTAAGCGCATGGAATAAAGACGAGGTAAAACGTTTGTGGGTGGACATAAATGGGAGCAAAATGCAGTTGAAAAGCACATTTGAACGTATATTCAAAATGCACCTGCAATTGTTAGCTCCCGGTGGGTTGTTGGTTAGCGTGCTCGCTTACCACGGCGCAACTCCGGGTTCGATTTACGAACGGACAAAACTTAATAATTGTGCACTTTCCTTACAATTGTCCAGTTTCTGTTTGACGATGAGAAAGCTCACTTCTCAGATTCAGAAGACCAAAATGCAGCGTAGGGATGGCTATATGCTAACCACACGTACCCATTAA